TGCTTTGGTGGAATCATAAGGTGGAAGAGGCTACCTGGAAAGAGAAGAGGATATGAAAAAATAATTTCCACATCTATTTGCTTCAAGTATTTTTTTTAAAAAAATTGAGGACGAATTTTCTTAAGGGGGAAGATTTGTAATACCCTAAATAATAGGACAGTGATTAAATTAAAAGGAATTAAAATATAGAGGATTAAATTGATTAATTGATAAAAATGAGAATGATGTGTGAATAGTAGTTTAGACTAAAATGTAGTGAGGAAGATTAAAAAGGGGTATTTATGGGTATTTGGATATAAATGAATTTAAAATTAATTTATTATGGTATGTATATATATATATATATATATATATTAGAGTAATGGAGAGATGATGAAAAGAAAGTCAAACACTCTCTCTTCTTCCTCATTTACTTGAAAAACATTTAACCCTAGCTAAAGGTAAGTTTCCAATTAATGAATTATTCCTTCAATTTTTGTTAGTTATCAAATCCTTGCATATGATACAAACTTAATAAAGGTTTTAAAGGAGATTAAAACTAAGTTATGAATGAGATATTAGAGATTAAAGAAAATGGGTTTTATCATGAAAAGTTAATATATAAAGGTTTGTTGAGGTTTGTTGGTAAAATTGACTTGTCATTAAGGTAAATGAAAGATTAGATGCATTGGTTGAGTAAAATAACAAGTTAGAAATTATGGTGTGATTCTTAAATTCAAATGCTCTTGAGGAATATTAGATGTTTTGAATGGTTAAATGAAGGAAAGTTAGTAAGGTTAAGTAGAGAAGTGTTATATAATATTGTTAGGGGTAAAAGAGATGAAAATTGCCCAAAGTTGGGTAATTTTTTGAATGAAAAAATGGGAAATCTGGGTAAGGGTATCAATACCCTATGGAACAGTACCGATACCATAGGCAAGAATTAGGCTAAATTATATAAGAGGTATCGATACTGATTCAACCAGTAACAGTACCCAAGCAATGTGTATCGATACCATGGTAGGGGTATCCATACTAGTAAACATCGAATTCAATTTGGGTATCGATACCTAGAAGGGGTATCGGTACCATAACATAAGTGTATCGATACCATGGTGAGGGTATCGATACCAGTCTATATCAAAGCTAATTTCGGTATTGACACATGAAGGTGGTATCGATACCCTAATAGGGTAGTATCGATACCATAAGCAGGGGTATCGATACCATAAACAGGGGTATCGATACCATAAGCAGGGGTATCGATACCTAAGGGCCAGAAATGTTAAGTTGGGGCTGATAATGTTATGGGAAGTTATTAATAAATATTTTGATTGATATTGAGTTATAATTATTAGGAAGCATACTAACAATTGATATTATGCATGTCTTTAATGAATATGGTATAGATTGCAAACAAGCTCATGAGTTGAGTAAGTTGAAAGACAAGGGTCAAGTTCCGGAATAATTATCTTCTCATTTTGGATATCTAAGCAAGGCTAGCCAGGTGAGTACCTTTATTGTATATAATTTAGATGAATACGATTAGAAATTATTTAGAATGAAATATTTATATGATAATGTATATTTTGCTGAAATTATTATGTGTTATGGAATATATGAACTTGATGTTGTGAATGAGGTTTTAGAGTATGAAATGCTCTAAAACAAATGTAAAATATTAATGGCATAAAGGATGTTATAGCTGAAATGTATATGGGTACATTATTAGTATAAAAGAATAATGCATATGGGTGCATTAGTGGCAAGAAAGGATGCCAGAGTTGAAATGCATATGGGTGCATTATCAACAGAAAAGTATACTAGAGTTGAAATGCATATGGGTGCATTATCAACTGAAAAGTATGCTAGAGTTGAAATGTATATGGGTACATTCTCAATAGATAAGGTATACTATCGTTGAAATGTATATGGGTACCTTATCAACATAGAAGTATACTAGAGTTGAAATGCATATGGGTGCATTATCAACAAACACTACAAGAAAATATACCTTTAATGACACACGAACGATGACACACGGTAATTTATGACTTGCAAAACACGTGTGTCATAAAAAAATGTCATGTTTTTTAAAATCTGAACGATTTATGACTTACAATAATGTGTGTCATATTTAATAGTCATAATCCAAAAAAATTGAAAAAACACGAAATACAATTTTAATTGTGTGTCATCTGTAAAAGTCGTATTTTAATTTTTCCCCCCCATTATTTTCCTCATTTCCTGCTTATTCCCCCTCAATAACAAAGTTCCATTTTTCTCTTTTTCAACCTCCCACTATTTTGGCCATTCACCACAACACAGACGAGGGAGTAAAAATTCAAGGGTTTCCACAGGTATTCCTCGTTCTCTATTCCACCATTCAATTGTAAACCACTTTATTTCTTCACAAATCACTCGCTTGCTAACGGGAAAAAAGAAAAAAGAAAGAAAAATCTCCAAGCTCGGTTTCCCTATTTCCATGGAGATCTAGGCTTTTCAATTGTTTGTGTAATGGAGACAGCTAATATGGGGTTAGTGGATTATGAGGTGGAAAGGAGGGAAGTTGTCGAAGATATTATGCAAGATGCACCGATTCTAAATTTTGTTGGTCCTAATCTCCAGCTTATCAATGCTAGTGGTAGGCTTCAGGTTCTTAATGGTGTAGTGGTCGAGGACCCTGCATCAATTTCTCGTACGGTGGAAATGGCGCATTACCAGCAGACCAACCAGGTTTTTCTCATTTCTCTAGATAAGTTTTGTCCTTCAAAAGTTATCAAAGGTTCGAACGTGATTGTAAAAAGAAGTGTCAGCACTAGTTTCGATTTAAAAAGAAAAAAGAAGATTATGAGGAGGCGCAAGTCGAGGTAAAGTCTAGATAATGAAGCGGTGGCTTCATTTTGTGTGGATGAGGTACTGGGCATTGTCTCGAAAGTGACGGTGATTTTAAGTTTAGAGTAGATTGAACTATCGGATTTCAAAGCTTTTGTTTTCTCAGCAAGCAAACATTTATTATTTGTTAAATTTATACCATATGGAGCTGGTTAAATTAACCATCTCTTATTCATATATGCTAAAAAAGGTATGAGCAGGATCTGTGGACATACATAGCAAGGTTTTTAGATGGACGATCGCTGGTGATGCTGGGAGCTACAAATAAATGGTTCAACAATGTTATCATGCAAGAATGTATATGGAAGTTCAAATGCTTGAGGGAGCTTCAGGTTCCTGATCCTGGTCACGTAGCATTCAGTTGGTCAAAACTCTATGGTTCAGTTGTTGGTAAATATCAAATCCCTTAAGATAACTTTAACGTCTGCGCCTTAACTGTTTGATATTGAAATTCCAATGGGTTTTGTAGATGGAAGTCCCTCCTACATTTTCCGGTAGCAGGAGAAACATATTGGTTAGTTATCTATGTTACTCGAATTCGGGTTCGGACACTAATATATATATCTGCATCCGAGTCTTACACAAATGTTAAACAAAGTCTTCAACAACCCATTGCTTTGTTAATAGTAAGAAGTTAAAGCTAGGGTGAACAATTTGTTGTATGCATTTGAATTGATCGTTAATTTATAATGAGATCATCAGTTACTGATTTAGTTTAAGGACAATTTGCTAGTGACTGTATGTTTTTTCAGATTGGATGCGGATTGGGGCATTTTCGTTCGATTCAGAAGTAGCATTTCTTTGTGAAAGGATGGTGAATCCACCTGTGAAAATCCCAAAACAAGGAAACATAGATGATATGTTACAATCTAGCGGCTCATGTATACTAAGGAATATCAAGACCGGAATCTGGATAGCTGGTACAGTTCAAATCCTATAAAATTTTGCCTCGCATTTTAGCTATCGTAAGATGGAAGCATGTTCTGTATGTAAGTTGTGATCATTTCCAACTAAGCTCGTCTTGATTTTTTTCTCTAGATTTACAACTTGTTCGATGCCCTGTGTGTGACCAAGAAAAATGTGAATTTGAGCATTGAAAATGACTTACTGCCCATGAAAATGCAGAGTATACTAGATCCCCCCTCTTATTTGGTAGATGAGATTCTTGATAAGTATACAACGAACATGCAAGTGGGAAAATACTTTATCGTTATTTCCTTTGCATTTTTCTAGTCAGTTCTTTACTCGATTATTTGGTGGTAGATCATTTCTGAAGAAAAAAGAAACTTAATTTAAGCGTATGATGATGAAACTATTTGATGACACATTATTTTGATTCTTCATGGTTTATTTAGTTCATTGTAGATATTTATGTGAACCATATATAAAGACTAAATTTAGGTAGCTTTTGGGAACTTGATTTTAGAATTTGGGTCTCAAAGATATTGTAAATTGAGTAATACAAATACTTGGATATGTAACATTGATGATTATTTCTCAAATCTATGGATTTGTTAGACGTCTATATAGTAATGACTTTGGAATTACTAATTTATTTTTGGATTTAATCAATCCATATTTTTATACTTTTCATCCATATATTATATTGACTCTTAATTGTCTATCCACGGTATATGAATTTGATTTTTATCATTTACATAGCAAACGAAATCCAAGTCCAAATTTTCAAATTCTAATTTTCAAATGGATTGGAGGATTAGGTAAATTTAGTGGATTACCTTGATGTGAAAGGAATATTTGACCGACGATTGTTGGAGGTTTAACAGTTGTAACAATATTCTAGAATAGTTTTTTGTATATTCTTGAATGAGAGAAAGCCAGTAGTCTCTTTTGTATTTATATATGGAATGTTTACCATGTTTTTGAAGCAAAATATTTGAATTCATGTGATTTATTAAAATGTCCTTTGAGCCTAGGAGAGGAGTTGATTTTTGTTTAATTTTTTACTTTGCAAGGTGACATAATTGGTTAATGATGCTAAGGCATGTATTCCCTTGGCTATTCCTGGTAATGTTTCCTCTGGAAGTACAACAATAAGCAATACTCTACCTTCCTTATTTCCTGCTGGCAGTGCTCCTCCCCTTTCACCAAGAAGTGTATTTGAGTAACAAAACAAAGGGCTGGTCCTTCAAACTTAGGTTCTCCACTGAAAGTAGTTAGTGAGCCTGTGAAAGAGTTCATACCTCAGGTTTGGATCTTGTTTATTTGATGTTATATTTTTCTTTTCTTGGTTTCTTGGTTGTGTTTTATATGCTTTATTTTCCTTTCTATTCCGAAATCAGCTATAACTTGTTACGTTTGTACTTGAGAGCACCTCCAGTTTTACTTCAAAAATGGTCGTCCGCCTCCAAATGATCTAAAAGAACAATGCATGTTTCGAATCAGTCAATTCTTCTATGGACATCCAGATGGGTTACAGCTGCTTGGTAAGATAAATGCATGTGTTTTAACACATATTTCTAGAACTCGTAGTATATTCATTTTCTACTTTCTATATGTTTTAGAATTCAAACTAGTGACCAAAGAAATCTACAAACTGCCTACATTTTTCTCCCCATCATTTTTCAAAACAATTGTTGTTAATAGAACTGGTGTGGTTACAAGGTGTAGTTTCTTGTTCATGGAAGTGGAACTGAGATCAATTCTTATATTTGTATATGAAAAATTTACAATTCTTTTGAATGATTTGAGAATCTCCTGCTTATTTTTATAAAGACATTTACTAGATCTGTTTGTCTTATTTCTAGTTGATTATTCTTGCATATACATGGTGTATTTGTATCAGATTATTGCTTCTTGAGATATATGATTCTTAATCCCTTTGTTCTTATCTTTTCAACCAAGGCTGATTATTTTCCATTTTTTATTGCAGATATATGATTCTCCACTGGAATATCTAAACACTGCCTCTCTTGCCCCAAAAAAGGATGATCAAACAAACATGTATCGTTAATCGTATCCCTACAGCTAGGGGAAGTTAATGTCTGCAAGCATTAAGAAAGCAGCTTGGAACCTTCAGTTTTTTCTTTTCTAAATAACTTCACGTTGTATTGCAGATTGATTCATGGAGTTCTTCAGCTACCTGCGAACTCAAACTTGATGGTTGATGAAACACAACTAGAATCAGGAAGCCTCAACTCCATTAGAATTGAGAATACAAAGTTGCTGAAAAATCTGATAGAGTTTCAAAAAGTAAGTTGTCACTTGGTTTGTTGAAACATGAGTACATGTTTGTGCATAAATATACTGGACCAAGGAAGGTGTTTTCGGAAGTTTAATGTGCATATTAGGAATATGTTTGTTCTATATATTGCAACTAGTTTTAACTGTTACAATTATTTTCAATTATTTTCAATTATTTCTTGTGTACACACCCGGATGGCGAGGGCATATTAGTAGAACTATATTATGCCGTGATATTTTGTATTGACATATGATTAAAATATTTTTGATAACTTAATGTGAATATATTGTATGGAAATGGATTGCGTATATATAATATGATATATATATTTAGTATTATGAGGCATTAAATGTGATTTAGTTTGATTATTTTCAATCTACATATATATATATATATATATATATATATATATATATATATATATATATATATATAATTTACGAAATACATTCACGACACAAGAATGTGTGTCATCTTTTTTAATGACGTGTGCTTCAAAGGCACGCAATGTAAGTCATAAATGCGTGTCATAAATGCGTGTCATAAATGCGTGTCATAAATTTATGACGCACAATTGCGCGTCATCTTAAATTCATGTCGGTGGATTCAACGACAGGAAAATGTGTGTCATCCGCACCCATAGATGACGTGCAATGCGTTTCATTAAAGGGGTTTTTTCTACTAGTGAAAAAAGATGTTATAGTAAAAAATACATAATGATGTATTACTCTCATAAATGGAAGTTACAAACGAAAAGGAAGAATCATGGCAAATGGTTTTGATAAATGGGAAATAAAATATGTTTGAACACCAAAGGGTATTTATTATATCATGATTCACTAAGATATACTTACCATGTGTATTTTCATGTGTAGGTAACAATAGAAAATCATCTAGTAAGGAGTGAAGCTATAGCAGCAGACATCATCAACTAAGGTTGACTCGCCAGTAACATTAGAACTTTAATAACATGTTTTGGACCTGTTTAGCATGTAATCATACATAACAAAAATATTTTGTATTATGTTTTAATGAAAATGTATTTATGATGTTAATTATGTGAAATTAAGTTTGCAACAAATTTTTAAAGGATTTTCAAAACGAGTATACTGTATTTTATGTAATGTGACATTTGTATTCATATATTTAACCGTATATAGAATATGGGTGTTACGGATGTTATTTCCCTAAGACTTCAAAAGAGACATACAAGACGAAAACCAAAGCCAATGTAATTACAATATCGAAGATTTGTAACGATGAACCTCCATCGATAATTAATGAGCAAGTAACTGAGACCCAAGCTAAAGAATTCTTGAGGTTCTTAAAGCACAATGAATATAGCGTGGCAGAGCAGCTTAACAAACAATAAGCAAAAATCTCAATACTGGATCTATTGATGAACTCAGACGTATATCTTAATGTTTTACTAAAAGTGTTGAACCAAAAATTTTTCCTTGAAGATGTATCCATAAGCAAACTTGATCAAATAGTGGGATATATAGCTGCTGATAGTTACATCACATTCACTGATGATGAGATCCCTGAAGGTGGAATGAGGTTTTTTAAAGCTTTGAATATCACCACTCACTGCCATGGCCATGTCCTACCAGGGGTCTGATAGGCAATGAGTATACATTAAAAGGTAATGCCTCTAACCAGTCTACAAAGATTGCCCATAGAAAGATCGCACATGAAAGACTACCATAATGTCGTCAGAGTATTTGATGGAATACAAAAAGATGTGATGGGAAAAATAAATGTACCCTTACTTATTGGACAACGGTTTACAACATTGATTTTTTTTTTTGTAATGGACATCCATCTGACCTACAACTACTTGCGTGGGAGACCATGGATCCATTCTACAGGAGCAGTCCATTCATCTATGCACCATAAGGTGAAGTTCATTATTGATGGAAAACTAGTCAGCTTGGGGGCTGAAGAAAAGATCATTGCTTCTGTAACAACAGATGCCCCATACATTGAAACCAATTATGATACATTGGAGTGTTCTTTTAAGGTGTTGGAATTTATCAACACGACTTACATTGCTGAGGCAAGTAAAATGCCATGCTCTAGGCTATCCAACTGCACCAAGATGAGGGTAAGGAAAACTCTAGACAGAGGGCCAAAGACTGGAAAGGGTTTTGGTAAGCGTCTACAGGAAAACTTATGCTCCATATATATCAAGATGAAGAGGGACTAATTTGGAATAGGGTTCAAACCCAATTTCTAGCAACGAAACAAAGAGATAAAGAAGAGAAGTGAAGCTAGAAGAGCTCATCTAAAAGGGGATGATACCCCGATAAATTGTGTGTTTATCCCCCACTTGAACGACACTTTCAAATATGGAGGAGTGGAATATGTAGAGCAACAATTGATCAGTGCCAGAGAAGGTGAGCAAGTAAAGGACCAAGAGATATTTAATGAGGCTATGAAGGGACTGTTCATCATCATGATCGTTGGGGGTAACAAACCTAAAATTTTTTGTTGGAATTCATCCTCGCTTCCCTAGTTAAAAACTCAATAATTGGATTGCAGAGGATCTCCCTGTAGTTTTTAAAACTAATTCAGAGTAATACTTAGAACCAACCTTATGCTCCTTCTTGAGAGCATTAAGGGACCTTTTGTAAAGGGCAACTATGTTAAGACTACTAAATCCTTAATGAAAGATTTTTTTAATTTCTCAAATGACAAGAATTCTTTATATTCTTTGTATTTTTTGCACCATATTCTTTATTCTTCATTCTTTACATTCATTTCATAAACCTTGGTCTCTATCCCAATATATATTCGAATCATTTTTTTGTGCAGATGTCACAATTTCAATAGCATGAATGTTCTTAAATTCAATCATGAGGTAAAGTTCGAGCAGAATATGTGTTCGAAAAAAGTCAATGAGTACAAGGACGATGTGGAATGTAATGTTCTTAATGAATTACTAAGGCTGGTGGAAAATGAAGATAAAAATATTTTACCCCACAAAGAAGAAATTGAGATTGTGAATTTGGGGACTCAAGAAGAAATAAGAGATATAAAGATTGATACTACTTTGTCTGTAGGAATAAGACAATAGTTGATAGGTTTGCTCTAAAAGTTCAGGGACATCTTTACATGGTCATACTAAGATATGCCTGGGTTGAGCACAAATATAGAGGTGCATAAGCTACCGATTAGGCCTTAGTGTAAGCTAGTCCAATAGAAAATCAGGAAAACTAGGCTAGAAATGTTACTAAAGATCAGAGAGGAAGTAAGAAAATATATCGATACAGGGTTTCTATAAGTAGCCAAGTACCCTGAATGGGTGGCCAACATAGTCCCCATACTGAAGAAGGATGAGAAAGTTCGCAAGTGTGTGGATTATAAATATCTCAAAAAACTAGTCTGAAGGAAAATTTTGCCCTGCCTCACATAGACACGTTAGTGGATAACACTGTAGAACATTCATGGTTTTCCTTCATTGATAGTTTCTCGGCGTATAACCAAATAAGAATGAGCCCTAAAGACATAGAGAAGACGGCATTTATGACCATATAGGGAACATTCTTCTATAAAGTAATGCCATTTGGATTGAAAAATGTTGGGGAAACTTATAAAAAAACAATGGTGACCTTATTCCATGATATGATGCATAAGGAAATTGAAGTCTATGTGAATGACATGATTTCCAAATCCCGAACTGAGAATGAGCATGTTCTGAATCTAAGAAGACTTTTTTAATGCTTGAGGAAGTATCAGTTGAAGCTTAACCTGGCTAAGTGCACTTTTGGGCTAATATAAGGAAAGTGTTTAGGTTTTGTGGTTAGTAAAAGGAGAATCGAGATAGATTCAGATAAGGTGAAGGCAATTCAAGAACTCCCACCACCTCGTACACAAAAATAATTTTAAGGGTTCCTAGGGAGACTAAATTATATATCCCAGTTCATTTCTCAGTTAACTGATAAATGTGATCAAGTTTTCAGACTATATCAAAAGAACAACCCCGAAGTATGGAATGATGAGTGCCAAGAAAATTTAGAAGTTATTAAGAAATATTTGTCTAACGCTCTAATTCTAGTGGCATCGGTTCTCGATAGACCATTAATTATCCACCTGACAGTCTTTGATAACTCAATGGGATATGTATTGGGGCAACTTGATAAGTCTGAAAAAAAGAAGAGAGTCATTTATTATCTAAGCAAGAAGTTCACTGATTCTGAAATCTGACACCCATCAATTCAGAAGTTGTGTTGTGCTTTTGTATGGGTTACCAAGAGGGTCATGCAATATATCCTATACCACACAATGTGGTTGATATCTAGACTCAATCCTATGAAGTTCTTGATGGATTCAC